TATTTCCCACTGTTTCGTTAACGATGAAATGATTAAAAACATTTCGAAGTTGTTACACTGCCCACTATTTTCACGCACAGAGCTTCTAAATTAGTCCGTGTCTGAACACAACTCATGCGTCTGTAAAACAGGCGATTTTATATTTCACCCCCTCCACAAGTGGCGGAGGTTACTTATATGTGTATGGGTCAACGCCTCTGGCCTTACTAGAAGTCCCATTAACTTCAATGGGGGCTATTTTTACTAATAAAAGTATCAGTATTTGGGCCTAGGGACTTAACTAAAATGCGGCTAGCTCTGGAGTGAAACGTGCTGGATATCCAATAGGTCACAGTTTCCTCACAATGTATGTTTGGGACAGGCACTGTATAACCTTTCCCTGGATAAAACCAATGCCACAATGCATTTCTCTTGTTTAGGCAGCGTAACTGGACTTCTCTCTCGCTTTTATTCTGTTTGATGAGTGACTGGAAATCATGGGCCATATGCTGTTTCCTTTTCTCCTGATCACTACCATTGAACTCAGTGGGAGTTCTGGGTAAGGCGAGCAGAATTTGGCCTCGGTATTGCACTTTCAAATAAAGCGGCATCTGAACTGCGTTTGTAGTCAACAGTGTCCTATTCTCTGAGGGGTTGTTCTGCAGAATTACATGTTTTTTCCCCGGGTGCCGTTATCACTGGTTTAGCCGAGCAATTAAAATCAAATCAAATCATCTTCTCATTGCCGCTATCCCATATTGCAAGTGGAAGTAACTTCCAGGACTTGTGTGCAAAAGAGCCTAGCAAAGCATGATTAATGCTTATAGTGACAGACAACTCTAGGTATGTAAAAAGTCGTGACAAAACCTGCATTATGCTAGTCAGGCCCTTACCCCCAAACAATTTCCATCACACCAATGCAGAGGCACCGCACTGGTGAGGAAGCTGCTCTGCGGGTCAGAGTGGGCGGGTTTAAAGTTTGTCTTTTAATTTAACTCGGTGCAAAACAGTAAACGCTGAAACACGCTTCCTGGGATTTTGCAGGATCCAGACGCCAGTTACCTGCCATGTAAAAAAATATCTTCCCGTTGAAAGCACGCTTGTCTTGTCAGGCGTCTTTAAAAACATCTCACTCCTAATTACAGTGCAGAGTTTCTCCAAATCCCTGGGTTTTGTCTGGGCCTTAGGCTGGTTATAAAATTGGTCTAAACCCATGAATCTTGTATTTGTTCCCCTTCTAGGGGCTCAATTTGTACTGGGTAGTAGATTTATGGCAGCTCTTTCCCCCTCTCTCCGCGGATTCTGGGAGGGCATTCTTCCACTGCCCCCTTGCACTGCGGCCGAGAAACAAAGAGTTGCTTCTGGGCCAAAAGGCTATTGTGATGCTAATTGTTCTCAGCTGAGCCCATTTGCAAGCAGCAAAGAGACGCTATTGAGGCAATTTGTAGAACAAAAGAAATTTGGGTATTGGGGACAAACCCGCACGCACAGCCCCCCCTCACCCCCCAAAGGCAACAGTGAAAAATAACTGCACAGGCTGGGAGCCTGTGGGGCCTCTTCTCAGATAGTGTCGCTGAGCCCCCGCCCATCCGAGCAACCTTCCTTCTTCACTGACGCTCCATCACACATCCTGGCCCCGGGGCGGTTGGAATGCGGGGCCTTTCCTTCCGCGCTTAGCGCATGTGGAAGAAAGGGCCCCTGGAAAGGCAGGAGCGGGCGTGGGCCCCTGGCCAGCCCTGGGGCAGAAGCTGATTTGTAAGGAGAAGCCCAGGACTCGCCCTTCCCACGCGAGTCGTGGCCCTGCCCACGCTGGCTAAGCTCTCCACGGAACTGTCCCTCTCTGGGCGCGGTGGGCTGCAGCGCACTAACTGTACTGCAAGCTGGTAGCTGGCCACAGCTCTGAGAACTGGGGTCCCAGCTCGCACAGGAATCCCCCAGAGCTGCTCTGGGAGCCCCCGGCTTCTGCCCAGTTAGAAATCGAGGGGGATTTGCCACGGATGCCCAAGGGAAAGGGGGACTGAAATAGGGGTTCCCTGGTGAGATTGGAATACAAGGTCATTGCCCCCTTATCCTCGGGTGCCTGCAGAGCTTGTCGGGCCCTAGCTAAGTGTGGAGAACGCCTTAAAGGTGGTTGGCCTGATTCTTCTCGCTATTTTCTTCCCCCTGCTCCAGGCACCAGCCTCTGCCTCCTCCCCATGGCTCTGAACTGCTAGCGACGGCGCACAGTTCCCGAAGAGCTGGGCTGTCTCCTGCAGTTAGCCCCGAAGGTCGCGGGTGGGTGAGAAGGGAGAATGAGGGCGGTGAGCATGAGAGGGAGGCGAGAGGATGGGTGAGGGGCGGGAGAGGAGGTGGAGGGAGAGTGAGGGCTGGGGGAGGTGGGGTCTGACCAGTATGAGAGGAAGGGGAGTGTGGGCTTGTGCGGCACGAGGAGGCGATGAGGCTCCGGGTGTAGGTGCCAGAAGGGGCTGGTGAGAGCCTCTGGCAGGCTTTGGCATCGTCTGTATCTTTCAGCAGCAGCCCGAAATGACCCTCTCCACCAGGCAACCTCCTCAGGCGCCCGGGCTGCGCCCCGGCCTGCGATCCGGCCCTCTGCGAGGACTGGCCCGCACGTGGCTGGCCCTGGGCTGCCATTCCCCAGACAAGGGTCCCGTGGGGGTTACTGTTTCACTTCCCATCTCTTGCCTCCAAACTCGTGCAAAGGCTACGAGCTGCACGGGGCCGGCGCAGAGCCCTGCCCACAGCGGCTCTCTTAGCCCGGCCCGGCGCAGAACTGCGCGGCTAGAGGGACCCCAAGGGGGAAGCCAGGCCATGGACTGTCCTTGCCGCCGGCTTTGGGGCCCCGGCAGCAGCTTCCCTTTCAGCCGGATTCTCTGAGCTGTCAACACCGGTGCGCGGAGCAAAACTGGGGCCAGCCACTGGCCATGGTGCTGAAAGCCGGGAGTCGTTCCGGTGCCTGGCGGGAGCAGGCAGGGCAGTGGGCGTGCGGCCAGTGGGGGCAGAAGGAGGGGGTGGTTTGGGGTTCAGCTGCCAGCCCCACGTCAGCATCCTGCTCTCCAGTCTGCACCCAGACGGGTCGTCACTGACACGCGCCGTGGGCCAGAGTTACCTAGGAGCAAGTAACAATGTGCAACCCGCACTTGGCCTGCCTGGAGGAGCAGCCCAGCCCCGGGCAAAGCACCCTGCGGCGGGGCCCTTCCTTTACCTAGCAGCCGGGGCTGTTGGTTATAGCAGGTTCCAGTCGCTCGCTCTGAGCGCGGAGCCGCAGGGAGCTGGCTCTGGTGGGGCCGGGGAGGGACGCCAGCGCCATGGGCGGATCAGGGAGCTGTGCGGCCCTGGTGCTGCGGGGGTGAGCAGCTGGCACTCGGGCCCAGCCTCTCCTCCGCCAGCTACTGCCCCAGCAAAGGAACTCTCCCCACGCTGCCCCGGCAGCCCGCCTTCCCCGACTAGCGCACAGCTCCCAGCCGCGCCTGGCCCCGGGGAGCTGCTAGCCGGGACAACGATTAGCACGGCGCCTTGCTGCTCACTGCCTCGCTGCAGGCAAGGTGCGGGGTCTCCTTCTTCCTCTGAGCTCCCCTGGACATCGCTCCCCCTACTGGCTCCACGCGGCGCGGAGCGTCCTGGCACCCCCTCTTCCCTTGGCCCTATGCAGAGCAGTGGTGCTGAGCTCCACTCCCCCGCCTGGGGCACAGTGGACCGGGAAGCCTCTTGGAAGGTAATTGGGGCTGGGAGAGGGGGAGGGGAGAAGAAGTGTGTGTCTGGGCGTGGGGTGCGGGTGTAGTCCTGAATGCTACCCATCCCCCACCTCCTTAGAGGCCTAATGCCATTCCTCCCTCACCCTTCTGGTTCCTTAGTAGTTTAGTTTCCATACTGCCAGTCTTTTGATCTTCCTCCCGCAGTTCAGCTTTTCCATATGCGCCCTGCCTAAGCCTGATATGAGACCAGGAAAAAAAGGACAAGAAATTATAACACTTTCAAACTCAGGCAACGGCTTGATCAAAATCGCACTTTTGCAAAAGTCCTGGTGTGAAGCTCCATGTTTGTATGAGTGGGAGGAGGAGAATGTGACCTAGAATACAAGTCACAGGTACTAGCAGAGGCCTGAAGGGCGATTGTTTGGTAAACTAGTTGTTTTTCTAGAAAGGATTCAGTAAGTGGGTTTTACTGCATCAGATCTCTTTTCTTTGGAGATTTAGGACGTCTCTGGTCTTTTAGCATTGGCTCTGTGTACTAGCAGGGAAATTTACAACCTCTGGATAAGTAGTGACTGTTTTAAGGTCTTGAATGCATCTTTTTTTCTTTGCCTCCACATTATTAGGTTAATCATTGCTTGAACTGGTTGCTATGGTTTTGGCAAACCCATGGATACTTGATAATGAAGACTGAAAGACTCCTTTTCCATTTATCTTTTTTTAGCATTTAGTGCATGATGGTTTCATGTCTGTTCACTGGGCTGTCCCAGGTCTGGTGTCCCACCATAATAACCAAGGCTTCTTTAATGGCCTGTGCACTTGTGGATGTACAAGAAACTGGTGGCCATTTGAAATGTGCCCATTCCAGAGATACAGAAATTTATCGAATCTCCAACTCATGCAAACAATATTTTGAAAAATATTTAGCACATGCACTGCCAAATGTGGCTGCTGAGAGACTTGTACAAAACAGGACTGGCTTTTATTTTTGAAGACAGCCAACTTTCTGCAACATTTTGGTGCCTGACACACAATTCTAGGTAATATTTTTATGTTTAGATAAAAGGATTTGAACAATGAAAGGATTAGATAGAAACCAGAGGTGGCTGTATTTAAGTGATGGGAGAATGTAAACCTTTATAGATTATGCTTTGTAAAGCATTTTTAGGGATCCTTTGGGATGAAATATGCTATGTAAAGACAAGATAATATATATTCTAAAGGTGGGGATGCTTTACACATCTCAAATTCACACTTCTTCTTCCCTTAACGGAGTTCATTTGGCGTGTTCTGAGTTCCTATATTTGTTTTCAGCTATAAAAGATGTGCTTTTAAAACACCACAGGCTTATTTTTCAGACTACATGTAGCATTCAGCACTAATGCAGGCATGGCTCATTGCTGGTAGCTGGAGTTTATTTTCTTACCTAAGGAGTGCTCATGTATGTTTCTATCAAGATGACAAAAAGACAGTAAAAATAATGAACAGTGAAAACAGAGAAGGTAAATAATTTACATGGTAAAATGATAAGCAAGGCTAATTATTAAAAGACCTTGCCAGACCTCATGACAGGGGAGTATGAAACTGATTAGTGGAAATTTTGTGTTTATTTTCCTATCAGAAACTTCATTACAAACTTTTCTATGCTGATCCCTGCTCCAGGAGAAAGTAGCTGGATCAAATTATGTCAGATAACAATTTTGCTAGATTCCCATATTTCCAGGACAATTTATTTGACCTATGGCCTTCAGTCCCCGCTTAAATTAGACTTAAGGGAAGTGCCTGCCTCCCACTCCATCTGGCATGTCTGCTCAGCTCCCATCAATAGAAAGCATCAAATTTTGTGAACTTGCCTTTAATCCCTTCATATAATTAATTATAGATTAGCTATCATTTCCATAAGTGCAGCCAACTCTGTTGTATTTTTTGTACATCTTATACAAACCAGTTTTGTCTTTAACCTGAGATAGCACTCCTGTGAAATATGTCTCCTTCATGCTTATATTTCCCCTAAATCAATATTTAGCAGGGTTCTTTAATTATGAATAATTAATTAAGGGAAGGCCTTCATGCACAATCTGCAAATGCATACTTTTTCATCTTAAAGGGTTCCTCCTCAGTGAGGAAAAAGGTCTAAAGCCCATAGCTGCAAAGGCTAAGAATCAGGATACTTTCACATGGACAGATTTCAAAAGTCTCTCTCTTTTTTTCCAGCTATAATGACAATCCAAAGAGTTCCTGATAGGGGTTTAAAAGATGCTCATTCATTCACTGTCCACCAAGCATGAAAATCCAGCTCATTTGTTTCCATTCTTAGTGCAAACGACCTCACAGGGTTCAGTTCAAGCTGAAGCCTGTTGCCCAAAACTTGTCACTCACACTTTTTAACTGCTTTTTGTTGGACTCCTTTTCTTTCATTCTCCTGGGTCCCCACCTCCTTCACTGCCCCACCTTCTTCCCTCGTCACAAAAAGAAGTCTGGAAATCTCTTTAAAGCTGCAGAGCCCTCTTTTAAAATCAATACAAAAAGCAATAGCTGAAAAGAGATCACAAGTACATATAACAAACTTCATCCTGTCTGGCCAGTGGATGCTACACGCAGTTGGATTTAGAAAAGAAAATAGATCTGCTGCATGCCACAGTGCCTGAAAGCTGAGCAGTCATGACCACGAATGATTAGCTCTTTGGATATGAACCAAGTGTTGCAGTTAACATGAGTTGGGGCTTTCTTTATGAAAGGAAGTGTTGGGGTTAAGAAAAATGTAAGGAAAACACAGCAGGGTTCTTCAAAGGCAGAAATGAAGGCTTAGGGGTAGTGTCTGGAAGGATAAAAGCACCCCAGTGTGCTGAAGGCAGAATGAAATTGTGGTTAGCTTGTACCAGCAACAAGATTGGAGGGTTCCTAGTGGGGAAGGACTACAACACATTTTAGCCTCAAGTCTCTGTTTGTTTCACTTGTCAGCAGAAAACAAGGAACTATCTTATCTTTCAGAAGGTGGATTTTCTTTTCAGTTTGGTGTTATTGGATGTTTTGGCATATTATGCATAATACTTGTTCATGCTTTCCTAAGGAAACCATAATCTGCTTTTCTCTTGGTGTCCCAGAAGAGTGGTTTTTTTATGGCTAATAGGCCATATTCGAGAATCAACAAGTAGTGAAGTCCGTTCACCGGAGACTTGTGGATGCATTGATCAAAAACCAAACAAGTGTATGTGTGCATAGAGAACCAGACTATAATCTGTTTATTCATATCTAAGCAGGGACTGTGAGATAAAATGGCAATGTTTGGTGAGAATATTACCTTTATTTCCCACATGTAGACATTTGACCAAACCTCACCACTCTGTGAGGAATAAACATGGTTAGAACCACAATATCCATGACTTCTTATTTCATTCCTTTACATCTTAAAGTGGGATTTTCAAAAGTATTCAGCATTGGCCTAATTCTGCTCCTATTGACTTCCTTTAAAAGTTCTACAGTTCATGTTTTATTGTCTTTTCTAGACTACTACTCATGAAGGTATCTGAATCAGCTGATTGTCTGCCTATGGTACAGTATAAAGAAATCTACAGTTCATTAGGTTTACAACAACATGAAGGTCAATGTCTCTGTTCTGAAGCAGTCATTTGAAGATGCAACTAACACTTGGGAAATTCTGGAAACTGATTGAACTGAGTGGAAAATTATAGTGGGAAGAGAATGGTCATCTTCTAGAAGTCTGAAATGCAGAACTTCACACTGTTGAATGCTTGTTATAATGCAAAGCCTCCTGTATCCTTTTCTATTCCACCATCCCTACTCTGCTTTGCCGTCCTCTAATTTCTTATAAGTAGAAGTAGCCATGAGCCAATATCCCAGATATAAGCAGCCCCAGACTTTGGGGAAGCTGAATTCAAATATGGCTCAGATAAATCCCATTTCAATGGCAAGGACCAAAGATGACAATAGACTTTTACTGTCAATGTATCATCTCACAATAAGATTTTAAATAGAAAGAGCTCATATCCATGGTAGTACATACTCATCACAATAGAAAGCTGGGATACAGGCATAAAGGAGAGCTGAGGACCACTGTTCCTTCTAAGCTTGCCTTCACAGGTGATTAATCAGCCCCGCCCAGCCAGAGGCTCAGGGCTCCCTGCAGGGAGCTGACTAGCTGGGTGGGGCCGATTAATCACCTGTGAAGCTGTGCTGCCCTCAGTTTAGAGGGAACACTGGACCCAACTACTACTCATGGTTTTGAAAATCTGTTCTCCTGTTTCCCTTTGATATAGCCTCTCAATTGTCAGGTAATCATATTCTGTACAGAGTTTGCTATCAAGCTATTTTCTGAATTTGTTCTTAGTTATAACTTTTATTGCTGTTGTCCACAATTTGATCCCATCTACACACTTGTAATTAGCAATTCTTCAGTTCTGTTTTAACTCCATTTTATACCTTCAGTTCATGCCATCTGTTTGAACCCATAATCCTTTAGTGAAATAGTTTAATGGAATTTATCTTCACTATGCTTGTCAGAATATCACACCCCTCAATCAGCTATTGTCTTTTCTAACACATAGAAATGTAGCTTTCCCACTTTCTACAAAACACCACAACCCAAACCCTCTATAACATGGGTTCCCAAACTGGGGGGCATGAAGAAATTCCAGGGAGGGTGTGAGGCAACTCAGTCTCCCCTCTCCTCTCCCCCCCCCCCCCCGCTTCAAGTTTTGCTCCCTGGTCAGTTCCTTTTTTTTTTTTTTTGGCTCAACAAGTTTTGCTGTTGGGGGGGAGGTGGCGTGAGGGTTTTTCAAAAATCAAAAAGGGGGTGTGATGCTGAAAAGTATGGGAACCACTGCTCTACAATATCTTTGCTGCTCATTGGGTTTTTAATTTAAAATATTTACACCATTGCCTGTGTGGTATGGAGACACCTGCATGGTCATGAAATTCCCCCTTCTCTTTCCAAAAGAAACAGACTGGAACTGGAGAAAAAAAAATCTCTGCCTGCTAGTTACCAATCTATCATCCATAAATGCTTCTGAAAACAAGAAGTGTCAGATCCAGCTGGTCAGCAACTGCAGATAGAGTGAGATGGGGACCCTACCTCTGATTTTGCTCAATCCTTTTGCTTGGTCAGCAAACAGTTTGTTTTAAATACGGAGATCTCATGTACATGGGCCAGAAGAAGATTAATTAAACAGGTGTTTTAAGCCCAGAACTGGAAAATTCACTGATAACGTTTCTCACTGATAGTTACAACCACTCTGTTGTATCCACCTGGAGAGTGTGTTTGGGTACGAGTAACATGCGGAGAGGGGAACAAAAGACTTGCTCTTCTTTGAGAAGAAGTAAGGATTAGTTTCTTTGTTTTGTATTCCACCTCAGGAACCAGACTAGGTTTCAGGTTTGCAGTGCTGTGAGACAAGAAGGAATGAGAGGAATATAAAGAAAAAGAAAAGAAAAAGCTTGTTTTCTTGTGGGTGGAGGAAAGGGGATTGTGGAATAATGGAGCAGCGTACTCTATACCGGGGTGGGGAACCTGAGGCCCAGGGGCAGATATGGCCCCCAGCTTGCCTGGATCCGGCCCCCAAGACTCAGGGCTCCCTTTCCTGCATTGGAAAGCCTGTGCTGGTGCTCCATCCCAGCCTCCACAATACCCCTAAGGGGCTGGAGCACACAAAATCTACTAGCTTGGGTCCCCCTAGGCGCTGGTGTGTGAGGGGAATGCAGGGAGTGTCTTTCTCCTTCTCAGTAGGGGGCCACGACGGTGATGGGTTTTTTTTTTGTTTTGTTTTGTTTTGTTTTTGCTTCTCACTTATGTGCGTCCCCTGACTGATTTTTCTGTGAATCAGTGGCCCTCAACTCTAGACACTGGAGAAGTGAGCTGAAATCTTGGATCGGAGAAGGATTTGGGAACTCCGAACTGAAACAGCTGTAGTCTTTGTTCCATGTCAAGGAAGGGATGCATTGACTGGAGCAGTGTGGGTGAAGCTTCCCCAGTGCTTACTCAATGACCAGACTTTGGCTTTAAGATGTGAACCATGTTTGAGGGGGGTGACTGGAAGCTGTACATCAGGAATCTCCAAAAGATTTCTAGCGGACTCAGCACATTCTGCCAGGAGGACTTGTCCCATGCTGGAGCGGGGCTCCTACAGCCGGTTGTAGTTGTCAACATGTGCTTTTCCCCACAGGTTTGGCCATCTTGCTGGCTGATGTGGACCATGTATGGGTGGGATAACCTGTGCCTCCTATATGCACAGCAGTACTAGTCCAGAGCAGTGCATTGTGAGTATGGCTGGTGCCTGCAACACAGATGTGAAGGGTATGAGATGTCTCTTGGTGCTCTCTTATTGGTCCTCATGCACACCTACATAGGATGAGCACAGTCTGTCCCTCCCTCCTGTTTTAGGGTCTGATCTGGGAATGAGATTTTCAAGAATAGACCCTTATGCCTGAACAGAGCCCCTTTGACAGTAATGGTTCTTGTCTTTCCATATGTCCTTATGGGGTCCTGCTTGTAGATACCTTTGCAAGGTTGGAGCCTTGGCCATACTTTCAACTTCTCATTTTCTGGAGAACCACATTCAGGCTCAAACACAAGAAATTAAAACAAAAGGACCTTCAACTTTAACATGCCTGGAATGGCTCCTTTAATAATAACTAATGAATTATTTAGCATCTATTGTTTATCTAGTACTTTTCATCAGTTGATCTCAAAAGGCTTTACACAGGAGGTCAGGATCATTATTTCCATTTTTACAAATGAGGAAACTGAGGTGCAGGGAGGTGTATTGACTTGCCCCAAATCACTCAGCATGCTGATGAGAGAGGAGGTGGGTGTAAAATAATCCTCCTAAGCAGTATGTGATTGAGATATTAATGGAATCTTCGCAGATGGGCTATAAACTGACTGTGTAGCTCTCTGTATGTAAGTTAAAGAATTACCACATTAGTTTGATAAAGCTATTGGGGATATTAATGGAAAATTTATAGGAAAGCCAGAGGCACTCATATGAAGAGCTGGCTTCATTAGCTAGGATCTTTCCTTCCCAAATCTATTCAAGCAAGCACCTAACAGAGACATCATAAATGAACTCTAGTTGTGCATCACATTGGCAAGGTAAGAGAAACTGACATGCTTTTTCCTCTTAGCTGTCAAAGAGCTGTATTTCTCTCCCTTTACTTTGAATGTTTCTTCCTATAGCCTGAAGGCATGAAAATGAAGTAGCTGGTGTTCTCCCACCTCAAAGTTGTATGAAGTGACAAACATGAACAGTGACAAATCCTCAAAAGTAGTTGGGGACTCTTGGAAATTAATAAATCCTTACATGTTAATATTTTAGCAATTTACTGACCTCACAGGGATATTAAAGAGTAATTAATTTGTATTCAACCACATATTATATTATTTATTTAGCAGATTTTCAAAGTATCCTAAGCCAGTTAGGTTTCTAAATCTCATTGACATTCAGTGGGAGTTGAACACATGATTTTTTAGTCTCTTTTGAAAATGATGAATTTTAACCCATTAACAAATTAGCATACAAGTGAGTGCCCGGGGGGGAAGAGAGGGGGGAGAGAAAGGGATATAGTTGAATGTACACTCAAGTCACTTCTTTATTGAGCTCAGCTTTGAAGATAGAGGAAGTTTTGCCCCTTTTTAGCCTGCAGATCTTTTCAACGTAAAAACTAAACCAGGCGAAGAAAATGCCACTTTGAGAAATGTAACTTTTTAAAAGGCATGTAAAACATGATCTGAGGAAGTGGGTCTGGCCCACGAAAGCTCATCATCTAATAAACCATCTTGTTAGTCTTTAAAGTGCTACATTGTCCTGCATTTTAGTTCACTGAGGTCTTCGTGCAGCATGGCTGAAGTTAACATCTTAAGGTTGTTTTTTTTTTAAAGTAGTCAAGATTCCAGTTTCTAATAGATTTTTGTCAGCTTTCTGTCAGATTTTCGTGGCTTCACTGAGACAGACTGAGACAAAACAGAGCTTTCACAGTTTGCATAGTCTGACCTTACAAGTTAAACCTTTCCTGCAACTGCATCTCATCCTTTTCTACCCAGAAAATTCCTGAAACCTTTCTCAGGATGTGTATCACTCAGCCACTATGTGGTGGTGATAAATTGCATTTACTGTGAACATCTGATGGTCTCACTTGTGCTATGGCCAATAATCTATATCTACCAGGTTTAATTGTAGAATTATTTTCTCAGCAACTGGTTCAGTTGATTGCCATTATAACAGTAACAACAGCAGCTGGGGGAAGGAGGGGACGAAGAAAGCCGAAGAAATGTTCCCTCTCTCCTCCAATGTGTGTAACAAATTACAACAGCCTGAGGCACAGAATGGACAACAAACTCTTCTAGATTAGTGACACTTTCAAATCAATTTTTTTGTGAGCTATTGGGACTATAATTGGAGAATTTATATAATTATACAGAGGAGATTTCTAGCTTCCCAGTGGGACATAAGACAATTTTATCAGGAGTCATAGAAAAGCTATTTTAAGGTAAGATTGAAAGGATTTAAAAATTTGTTGGGCCTGATTTTGATCTCACTTAAATCACTGTGGATAGAGAGTAACTTGATAGAAGTCCCATGGCTAGATTATTGGGGTCAGCAAATCCCAGCTCAGCATAGAACCAAGGAAAAGGGAGCCAGTGGTGGCTATATGCCTGTTTCCTGGGAGAGCCTCCCATCATGAACTGTGTTATGCTAATTGTTGTGTAAGCTTGTGAACCCTCTGTTCCAAGGCCACGAGGGCAGGGAAGTAGTTTGTGTTAGAGCAGTAGAAAGCATGAATGTTTACGTGGTAGTTAGGGGAGACTGGAACTGGGGTGCAGGAGCCTTGTGCCAAAATGGCCTTTGCATCCGACAGTCTGAAAGTGTGTGTGTGTCAGGAGGCCTTTATGCTTAACAGTATTTCTATAGAAGCTAAAAAAAAACCAACCCCAAACCCTCATACAAACAAGTCAAGAAAAGGTTGATTTAAACCTTAATGTGAGGCAGCCGGCTCAGTGTCTGACCTTGTGGCTCTGGTAATGATTTAACTCCCTGAACGAGAC